ATATAAAGGAAGGCAGAGACCCCCTCTCTCAGAGCTGCGTGGCTGCTCCACGACTTCTGCTCATCGTATCTATTTCGGTCTGCTCCCTTCTTGTCTTTCCACCATGTCCTTGAAGAACAGGGCCACAATTAGAGACACGGGATGTCAATAGGACTGTGCCCTCACATTCATCTTCATTAACCTCATTTGTGTGAGAGCGGGCCTGAGAACAGGAGACAAAGAAGTCCTCAGTTCAGACTTTGTGTCTATTGCTTACAGCTTTTATTATGTTTTTATTTATGTTTAGGATGTGCACATAGTTAGTCCTTTGCATTTAAAGCAAGGAGGGGAGGGTTGAGGGGGGAGAGAAAGCAAGAAGGGTAGTAGGGCAAGAATGGCCTCAGGTCCTGAGACAGATTGTGGTTTATTTATTTTATATGTATGCATAAACACAGATATGCACCAATACTGTAGAACTCCAATGCTGTAAAAGCTGGGACAATGTCTAAAATATAAATAAAAACAGAATGCAATGATTTTCAAATTTTATAAACCCATTTTTATTTACTGTAAAACTTAATAAATATATCAAATGTTGAAATTAAGAATTATTTTTACAATTTCTTTGGAAAAAGAAAAAGCTATGAAAATTCAATGTTGCAGAAAAGTTGTGACTAGTCAGCATAAGACTGTTGACGTTAGTAGTGCAAATAGGAAAACAACTGAAAGTTTTTTTTTCAGTTAATTAGGTTAATTGGTGACAGGTGCATAAGAGGAATGGCTTTAGAAACAGACTTTTAGAGCAGCACTCAGAAGTAAAGATGGGCAGAGGTTTGTATTCTGCAAAACGCTGTCTAAAAATAGACCAATTCCAAAAAAGTGTTCTATAATGGAAAATTTAGAAATGCTTAAAGATCTCATCATATACCATTCATAACATCAATAAAATATTTCAAGAAATCTCATAGCTTAAAGCAGTGGTTCCCAACCTTTTTAGACTTGTGTACCCCCTGAGCCATTTTGTCATAACACCAGTACCCCTTCAGTCAAACGTAATGATGATTCCCCAAAACTATAATGCACTACAACTGATTATTAAATCAAAATTATTTTTAACCCCTATTCTCAGGCCTTTCATTTTTTAAAACTCTAATAAAACATAAAGATAAAAATATTGCCTTGACAGCGCATAAGTAATTAAATAAATAAATCAGGTAATGGCAGGTGCTGAAAACAGTAGCGTCCATATTGTATTGTCAAAAATACATCGAAAACTCAACCAAATTAGCAAATTCCATGAGATTCTACGTTTCATACTGAATTCCATTTTGTGTTAATTCTGTGATTCCATCTTTGATTTCTGCATTGTGGAAATCATAGGGCTCTACATATTTCAGTCCTATTTTTATTTTTTTTACACACCTAGGAAATTTTTCCATGTACCCCACTGTAATATGCTCGCATACCCAAACATGGTACACGTACCCCTGATTGGGAATCACTACTTTAGACCAGTGGTTCCCAAACTTTTTGTCTTCTGACCCACAAAATATCCATGGCAAAAACTTGTGACCCCAAATATTACCGGTCTGAGTACACGAACTTCGTTAATAACCCTAAAAACACAGGCTTTTTGACAATCTAAACAGCTTGTACACAAATATAAATACTTATTTTTACTTATTTTGTGTTTTTGTAATAATTATAAGGAAAATATTACATCACCAATTATTTTATTACCCTTTAAATTGGTTTCTGAAGTGCAGTGGTTCCCAAACTTTTCAGCTTTTGACCCACAAAATAACAGCAGCAGAGATCTGTGCCCACAACTGTTTTTGGATGGCAAACATTTGTATCAGGTCAACTAAACATGGGCATAGTAACAATATATATTATTCTACATTTATACATTTTAGGCTACTAAGGCAAAAATGTAATTAATTYARAAAATCTTTTCAGGACCCCACCTTGATRTTTYRGGACCCCACTTTGGGTCCCGACCCCAACTTTGGGAAMCACTRSTYTAGATCAGTGGTTCCCAAACTTTTTATCTTCTGACCCACAAAATGTTCATAGCATAAACTTGTGACCCCAAATATTACGGGTCTGAGTACACAAACTTTGTTAATAACCCTAAAAACAAAGGCCACACAGATATAAATACTTATTTTTACTTATTTTGTGTTTTTGTAATAATTATAGGGAAAATATTACATCAGCAATTAATTTATTACCCTTTAAATTAATTTCTGGAGATTATCCAAGGTGCTTCATGACCCATAATTGGGTCCCAAGCCCAACTTTGGGAACCAAAGTGCAGTGGTTCCCAAACTTTTCAGCTTTTGACCCACAAAATAACAGTAGCAGAGACCTGTGCCCCCAACTATTTTTGGATGGCAAACATTTGTATCAGGTCAACTAAACATGGGCATAGTAACAATATATATTATTCTACATTTATACATTTTAGGCTACTAAGGCAAAAATGTAATTAATTTAGAAAATCTTTTCAGGACCCCACCTTGATGTTTCAGGACCCCACTTTGGGTCCCGACCCCAACTTTGGGAACCACTGCTTTAGACAGTGTGAAGGGCTGAAGGAACTGTCCAAGGTCCTGAAAATGCTGAAATGTTTCAGTACTTTAGACAGTGTGAAGGGCTGAAGGAACTGTCCAAGGTTCCGAAAGTGCTGGAGTGTTTCAGGATCTTGGACAGTTCCTTCAGCCCTTCACACTGTCTAAAGTCCTGAAACATTTCAGCATTTTCAGGACCTTGGACAGTTCCTTCAGCCCTTCACACTGTCTAAAGTCCTGAAACAGTCCAGCACTCTCAGGATTTTAGACAGTGTGAAGGGCTGAAGGAACTGTCCACTGTCCTGAGCTGTGAGCTGTGTTCAGAAACACAAATTATTGTCTGTAAAATGATTTGTTTTATTGGCTGATGAAGCTAAAATCAGACAAGAGTGGGACAACAGTCCCTCTATAAACTTCATCAGCTGTTCTTCTCAGTTCCTCAATGCAGACAGTTGGGAAATGAAAAGGYGTATTTTCACATCAGTAAACATGATCTTTTCCCAAAATTACATTTTTTAATGATATAAGAAGTACAATTTCTTAGTTTAAACATTTGATATGGTTACTATGATTCATTGTGAATAAAATATAAATCATTGCTTTCTGTTTTATTTAGATTTTACAC